AAATACCTTTAAAGTAAAGATTTGAAGAGTTGAAATTTTTTACTTTTGCTAACTCTTTTAATGTTTAATCCTGTATATTTAAGGTGTTAGGCAAACAAGTAGAAACTGAGTTCTTCAGTCTGTTCAATTTACTCTGCAAGTTTTGCTGGTGAGTTGAGCGTGCTGGGTGAGAACACAGGATCTCAAATTTTAATAGGGCAGCCCGCTATTTCCATAGAAGGACATCTGGGAGGAATCTACTCTTTTCTAAATGCTATTTTTTGGCTTCTCTTAGCTTAGTTATTGGTTCTTTTTTAATTCTGCATCTCCTCATTGGCCTCAAACTCCTTTTTCTTTCAGGAATCAATGTCTCTGAAGCTATTATCCATACCCTCTAACTTGTGGACTTGTGGAGGCGTCATTTGAAATAACTACCTACTTGTCTGCTGATCCCTATGATTATGACATGGGGTTAGATGTTCATACCACAAGTTCTCATTCACAGCTTGAAATAGCCCCTTCAAACCTGGTAAAAGAACAAAAATCCAAACTAGAGCAACCTTGGGGAAGCCTGGAGAAGGCAATATGTTAGGGAATAAATTGGCAGAGGCACCAGAGTGTCTGAGAGCAGATGGAGTGTTGTCATCAGTTGCAAAATCACTGTCAATATTGCACACATGCAAAAATGGCTCTTCATGTGCTCTTGCCAAACACAGGGAACAAGAGCTATAAGTATCATTGGTAAACTGCATTAGTTGCTACTGAGCATCTTGCAGCTGTAATCAACAAGTTGGAATTATCACTTGCAGTGCTGGGCAGTGGTTGTTGCAGAAGCACTTAATTAGTGGTGATAAAATAACCCCTTTTTAGTTCTTGTTTAATGACAAAGGATTCTTACAGTTAAAAAAAAAAAACAACAAAAACAAAACAACAATTAAAAAAACCAATCTCCCACTTGTGTTACTCTGCTCTTCTGTTCTCTGGTTTTAACAATAAAAATGAAATTTTCAGTGGTCCTCTTGTGGTTATATTGTTTCATATTTTAGTGTGGTTCAGAATTGAACTGTAAAGCTGTTGTTGTGTACTTATTAATGCCATGTAACTACTGACCTGTCTGTCCTCTGAAATCAAGTTTTGAAATATTGCCATGTTTACATAAAGTATCTGGATTGTTGCCATGAAGTTGACCACTGGGGTGCACGGTTTGTAAGGGGACATCCACCCAGAAATGAGAAGTAGTGGTCATAAGGCAGGATGGCTTACTTCATGACTACGGTGTATGGTGGATGTTCTCCCACTGAATTAATTGGAAAGGCAAATGTTGAAGCAGAGCCTGTGAGATGGAGAGTGGTTTGGTTTTAAGTTCTGAAATCTGTTTGTACTGATCCAAGCTTCATTTCCATGGAAACAGGAAGTCTAGCGCACTCATTTGTCAACTTCAGCTGCCTCCTGGCTTTGGGGAGAGTAAATTGTTCCCTTATGCTAACCCTCTCAAAATCAAGAGTTATGCTAGCGTATTAATAATGCTTTTTTCTTTTTTAAGGAGACAAATAATTATGACAATTCTTTCACGCATTTCATTTCAGGAAGATGCTTAACATTAATTGCTTATAGGTCAGATATGAGTGTTCAGAGTTTGTGCCAGGTTACCTAACTTTGGATTTATCATGTACATATATGTAATATATAAGATTCATATTTTCTTTCCTGTTATTGGAGGATAGGAGGAATGGTCCTCATTATGGTGTAGTTTTTACAGGTTGTGAAGCAAATCCAGCATTTTGCGTATCTAGAAGGATCAAATCTGACCTCTGCTTGTCTTCTCTTCAGTTCTTCTGCCTGTAGTAACACAGGTTTCTTCCCATGCTTTGCACCAACCCTGGAGTATATTGGCTCCAGCAGCAGCTTATCCGTGAAGACATCAGGAATCTGCAGCCTAATTGAACCTGGGACTTAACTGCATTGCCTCTGTACAATGGATATCTGAGTGTAGGTTATGGTTTTGCCAGCAACGTGGCACTTCCAGGCCTGGTCTGTGTGGGGTTTGTAGCAGCAGAATGGCTGTGTCAGCCCCAGAGGAAAGCAGGTGAAGGCCTGACTTTCTGGAAGAAACCTTGAAGAAACCTTGATGGCTCTCCAGGTTTTGATGTGGAGTGGAGGTTATTGAGAAGATCATGGAGAACACAGAGTGTGTACTGCTATCCTGTGTTGAAGACAGGAGTTAATAGGAGAGGCTTGCAGTCCCTTGGCTAAGCATTCTCTGTTTTGAGGAGGTAGCTCTTCTCATCTGGAAGATTTTACTGGTTAAATGACTTCTTTTTTTTTCCCCCAATGATTTGTGTGTACTTTATCAGTGTTCCACTCGGAGCTGCTTTTGGCAGCATTAAAATTGCTGGAATTACTATTCAAATGAATTCAAATACTACTCAAAGTATTGTATATTTCTGTATTTCTGTAATTTTTACCATTTGCTTTATTGTACAAGAGCTCAACACGGTATTAGTATTTTGAGTGCACATAGAAACAGCATTATACCAGACTTACAGCCAGAAGTGTGTTGGCTTATTCTTTCTTTTGTAGAACAGTAGTGTTAAAACAAACTCACAAACACAAGACAAGCAAAATAATCCCCGCTTCTATTAACTCTTTGGCTGTTTAGATCATGTGGGTGGTTAATTCAGGCTTAAATATTCAGCCATGAGTTGTTCAGGATAGATGACCTTCTGTGCAGGTGATGTCTTCATTGAGCACAGCTGTAATGCAGGCTGTGCTGGATGCGTGTGAGTAGAAACAAGGTTCTGTGAAGAGCTCCTCTCAGATTGCTGTGCCGTAATGTGGAGGCTTGAAAGAAGATAAAATTGTTTTGATGGGTAAATAGCCCTACTGTAAATATATATTGTTGTCAGTCATCTTTAGCACGATGCCATCTTCATCTCAAAAAAAAAAAGCAAAAACCCACACAAAGTGGTTCTGAAACAGTACCTGAGATCTTAACTTAGCAGAGGTGTTTAAGTACTTAAGACTAAATTGTTTGCAGCCTAGAACATAGATTAGCTTTGTACACTTCAAGATTTTTCTCATCTGACAAAAATATCAGTTCATTTTTTTTTTTTCCCTCAATAAGCATCAGGTTGATAAACTAAATCTTGCCAGCAGAGGATCAATTGATCTGGAAATAGTTTTCTCTTATCACCTGAAATCTCCTGGAAAGGTGTCTCCCTGTCTTGATCCCTTTTTGATTCTAGTTTTCAGTGTGTTTATTTAGGTGCAGCATAATGGGCTTAAGGGGAGCTGTCTTGTGAATGTGGATCTTCACAGCTGTGAGGGTCCAGAATTGCTCTGGAATATTGAGATCTTTCTCTGCAGTGACTGAAATTCAGTTGGAATTTGCCAGTGTAGAACTAAGGGCTGAAAAGGAGCTGGTAACAGAACTGATGTGCATTCCTCTTAAAAGTGAGATAAAGGATTGGGGAAGAAAAGGCCAAAAGTGACTATAAATGAATAATTATGTCACTAATGTAGCCAGGAAATCTTTTTGTATTAAGAAACATGTCAGTATCTTCAATATCTTTCAGACATGAAACAAAATGATGATTATTGATGACTTTTCTGTTCTAGTCTAAAAGCTAATGACAAACTTTAAGGAGGAGCATATACAAGCTATGTTTTCTTTTGACAAATATGCGTCCCAACAACCTGCAATTAAATGCCAAAACAGTAAATAATCCATTCGTCCTTAAAATGCTGTAGAACACAGTTCCTGCTCTTGCTCAGCGTGAATTCAAGTGAGTCTTGAGGTGTAAAAACTTAAGAAAGCTTAAACATGAGTTCTCTTCAGGCTTAGCAGCTATTTATTGGGACAAGTCAGGATGTGTGTGCCATGTCAGACAATTACTCACTACTGAATGGTTGTTCAGCTGTGTATTTTATCCCTGTGGCATTTAGATCTTTTGCGTTTGCTTAAATATTCTCACTTCCTGTAGGTTACAGACTGAAGAACAAAGAAATCAATTCAGTAACAATGGAAGAGTGCAATTGCATGGAAGCTGTGTGTGATGCAAATGTGTTGTAACTGATGAAAAATCTCACGGTGTTTCTCTCACAAGTAGGAATAATCTTACTGGCCCACTTCCAGTGAGAGGAATGTAAACGATGATCACACAGCACCAGTGGAACAGGTAGTGTGAATGTGAGATTTTGGTTGTTTTCATTGTTTGTAAACAGCAGGTGGGTTTGGAAAAGATGCAGATGAACAACTTCTGAAATACAGAAATGCTGAACCTCTTCTTGTTTCCTATGTCTTAGGCACTGTAATAATGTTTCTGATGCTGTTAGTCAGTTCTTGGTGTCTGCAAATAGCTGTCTTTTCCACTCAGAATCTAAGAGCTAGGATTCTCATCCACGTCATTCTTGGATGTAATTTGCTTACCAATAGTCACACTGCTTGCATTATGCTACTTATTTTTAGAAGGCTTAAGGAGTTGTATTGTAATTGCATTACTGTGCAGAGTGGTCTGATGCATTATCCAGTGTGTACTCAGTCCTGGTCAAATGGCTTTTAATTGCATTAAAAGATAACCTAATTGGTGCTTGGAATATATGTATTTTCCCCAGATTTAGTATTTGTCAAGAACTACGAGTGCAGAAACAAATAGCAGCAGCCCATAGTCTGGTACTGTTACACAACTGAATGCGAAGAAAAGCACTCAAGCTGCTCTGGGCCTTTCATATTTGGCCATCTTATCTTTAACGTAGATGTGAAGTTGATGAGAACTGATGCTGCTTTGTATAGAGACCTCATATGCTATCAGTGAAAGTGGATGAAATTAAAAAGCTCTTTCATGTCTTGTTTTTCTTGGGCACATGAAAATGTTAGTAATAGCAGGCATGCAGTTCTGTTTGCTTTCAGAAGTCTATTTCTAACTCCTTCTGAAGACATAAGGCTCCCTTCCTTGATGAAGATGATAATGCTAGTTTATCCATGCCTTGGTTTAAAAAAAAAAACCTCTTTCTGTTTTGGTGACTTAGTTCTAAATCTTCTTTTAGATGTAAGGAAATGATAAAACCATAAAGTGGAAATTATCTTTTGTCCAGTTTTTCTACTTATATGTGTAAGATGCCAATTCTGAAGTCCTTAGAACCAGTAATTGTGATTGCTTTATGAACAGGATCCATAACCTGATGGGTTTCCCACCCATCCCTTGCAAAGTATTACTTCTCTGTTTGTGGCAGGTATGTTTTAGGTAATGTGTATGTAGTTCACATGGCTGGCTAAGGTTATCAACTTGTACACTCCAAGTTATGTTTCTGAGATTTTCTTTTGTATCTGTATTGCAGCTAGCCTTGTGGGATGATCTTATATTCACTTTCATATGGTGCAGTAGAACAAGGACCAGCAAGAGTCAATTCTGTACTTCCAAGGGAAAACTCATTTTGTGTGTATCTGATGTGAGCAGTGAACTGTGTGGATTATTTCTTTCTGCTGCAATGGAAATAAGGTATTTCATATCTCCTCACATCCTAAAACAGAAATAAGAATTTAAACCTGAATAAATGACAATGACCAAATCTTGGCTTTGTAATTAAAATGCAAAGTTGCCTTTAAATTTTAATCTCACCGTGCTGTGCTCCTAATTTGTAGTTTATCCAATGAGTAATTTTGACTACAGGGTACCAATCAGTGCACCTTTAATATTTTTGAGCTAGCCAGTATTTTACAAATACATCGGAATGACAAACTGTACATCTGTGTACAGCACAGCTTTTTGAATGCAGCTTGGGTTTAATAATTTGTTTCCTAAAAGGAATGGAGTATCTATGGGAGGGATATATATGCATGTTAAAGACAGCTCTTTTGTAAGGGCTTGATGAATCACTGTGTCTTGCTGCACTGTGAAAGGCAACTCTGAGTTAAGAATGAAATGCTCTGCAGTTCTGGGATTCACAGGGGTCTGTGTCAAGACATTTGAAGACACTAGAACTGAAATATATTGATGACAAACACTTAAGTTGTATTCTCCAGATTGGTTCGTATTCACCTCTCCAGTTTTAGCAGCCCTTCCCTGTATTTTTCAATTTCTAGGACTTCCTCCAGAACACTGCAGGGTTCTCAAATTATTTTCCAGTGATGCTTTGTAGATATGTATTATTGCTGCATTTTTAAATGAGATTAAATGCTCATCTCTACGTGTGAGGAACTTTTAGAACTCTGTGTTCATTCTAATTTTTGGATTTGTTGTTATATAAAATATGCTCATGAGATTTCTCTTCTGAATATACTGTTTCATTTTTATGAATTAACCCAATTCTAGATGATGGTATAAAAGCGAGTATTTGCGAGTGGGAGTGATAGTGTGGGTATGCCTCATCTTTGAGGTTTTCCTGTGAGGCTGCTGTCTACACTTTGTGTTTAATCTATGCAGACTTGCTGCTGTGATGAAGAGCTCTTGTTGTAGCATCTATATTATACTAAATGTTGCAGAGTACTTGTGCATACATACAAATTGGATGTATAGTTCAGTTTTGCAGTAACATCCAATGGATGAGGTACTCTTATATTCAGTTGATTGCAGCCATACTTTTATTGTGTTAAAGTCAAGTAATGTAAACCAATTTCAGTAAATGTTGGATAGGAATCAAATTTGAAAGAGTAAACTTTTGGCTGAATTGTTATGAGCTGACTACTAGTTCAGTAATGAAATAATTGTTGATACGTTAAAGGCAAACTGTCAGGAGAGTGCTGATTCTGATTTCAGTGTATTTAAACTGAGTATAATTAATAATTAGCAGTTATGTAGCATTAACAATTACTTATGAATGCTGCAGCTTTGATTGCTTGGGAGACTTCACTCAAAAAATGTATTTGTAAGGTTTTTATTCCAAGAATCAAGCACTAAGGATATATGCATTGTTTATTTGTATATGTGAACATACTGTTAATCCATTATAGGTAATGTATGAAAAGTCATTCTGAGAGTGAAATGAACCAATGTGTTTGTCTTTCATCCCAAAAATGTTTCGTCGTTAAATAACTGCTTGATGATCCTTAAATTTAAATGTAATAATCACACTTGTATAGGGAATTAGATCCAATGCAAGGTATGTGCTTTCTTGTGCTTTTTCCAGGTGGATTTCTTGTAAGAAGGATGTATAATTGGAGTAGAGAAATAAGATTTTTAATTATTAAAAAAAAAAAAAAAAAAAAATTATGAAAGTTTCATCTGGTTAAAGTATATCTGAGGAAAAATGAGTGAATAATAAGGATGTGATATTAGATGTTTCTTTCTCAGTTGCACATGTATAGATAACTCTTATGGCTCCTTGTCTTTGTCAGTTTAGCTACCTCCTTTAATGAAGTGAGCTACTTAAACTTTGCTCTTCTGAAAATGTTTCCATTTAAACCAAGATGTTTCATGGTGCCATTGGCTGGGCTGGTTGCACACAGCCCCTTTTGCCTTCTAATGCATGAGGCATGGCAAGTGTGAGCGTGCATCCAACATTTAGGGAGATCAGGCTCTTGATGCCTGTTGCTGATCTACATTTCAGAAGCAGCTCTTCTTTCTACGAGGAATACTGTTCCAGATCTGTAATGCTTTGCTGTTTCAGTTACCTCTCCTGCTCTAGCCAGAACTGCATGTCACAGGCAGTGCCTGTTGGCACTTGGCTCTTGCACCTGCCTGCTGAGCACCAGTCTGAAGAAAAGCTGGTTTCCATCATCTGCACTTTGCACCAGCATCAGTTGTGTGAGGAGATAGATACCTCAGCTGTTAAAGTGCAGTTTTCCAAAAGCTGTATATCAGCTGTATATCAGCTATTAAACTTCCTTATCAAAATGCTGCTGAGATGGCGCTTTAAGCAGTGAATGCAGTAGCATTTAATTTCTGTGGCATGTGTTAAAGACCACTGGCTTTTAAACTTCAATTGTCATTCCCTCCCCCCCTCATTTTACTTCTGAATATTTCCCATGAAAATTTATCTTACTGAATGCATTGAATCCATTTTCTATGGATTTTCTAGTTACTTGCTTTTCTTTGACTATTACACAAATGCAGAATTACATGAAAACTGCTTACATCTACCTGTCTTATAGTAATGCCTGCCTCACAGATCTGGACTAATACTAAGGACTATTTCATAATGATCCTGAAATAATTTGGCAAAGGAAGCTAGTACTAACCTAGACTGTTTGATTTTTGGAAGCAAAATGGCCTTTCCGTCAAATGATACACGTTGGCAAGTTAAAAGTGCCTTTGCCCAATGGTGTTGTCCATGCTTCCTTTAGCACAGGGCATCTGCTGAGAAATTATGATTACTGAGTAGTGTTGCTGCCCTTGGAGCTGATCAGTGGAAGGTGGCTCCAAATCAGCAATAGTTTCACTTGAACTCTGATGCTAGAAATAGGGAAGTTTTAACACAGGCTGTTGGTGCTATTGCAGAAACCCACCTTTCATTTTACATTGTAGAATTATTTAGCTTAGTTTAAAACTAAGTCAAATATGTGTTTGTCACATAATAGTTAAAGATATAACTATAGTTGTGTTTTTTTTCACAGAACATGTATTTCAAAAGGAGGTGGTACTGATTTTCACTCGATGTTCTTCCCCATGTAGCATCTTCATAAGGACCTAGTATGTGAACTGTTGCAACTTACAAGGGTGTTATTGAGGTTCCTTGTGGGAGTTAAAGCTTCCTGCTTGCTTTGGAAGTGAATGCTGTAAAAGGAATAATTAGTGCTTTGTGCTGCTCTCTTTTTTTGAGGGTGGAATTCTCTTATGTCACTGTGGGAATTGGTGGGAGAAGGAAGGGAAGAAGGAACTGGACAAGCTGATGTCCAGTGTCTGAGTAAATGTAAAAACTTTCTTTCTTTTCATCACAGCTACTGGAGATCCTTAATCTTAAATCAGGGAGAATGTGAAAGTACAGCAAAACATTATGATTAATTAATTGTGTAAATGATGATGAAAATAAGCGTGGATGTGAAATAAAAGCAATTTTGAGTTAGACCATGTTATGTCAGTAATGCGGGGCAACTGTAGGTTTCCTTGGAAATGCTGTCAGTACTGCTTCTTTTACAGCAATAGAAACTGCTTTCACCTTGAAGGAAGGTAATCTGAACGATGTACAAAAGCCTGCTTAGAGTAAGGGCAACAACGGCAGTATAGGAGAATGCAACAGAGGTAGTGAAAAGCCTTCAACCAGAGATGTTACCTTTTTGGAATACAGGAGTGAAGTAACTGACTTACTGCATTCTCCATAGCATTTCAAGAGGCTGAGAAGACTGATGCTGAGTTACAGTATTTTAACAAGCTAAGGTGCATCTGCTCAGCTGTGGTAACTTTGCGCAGCCTCTTAACTGTTCTCCATTCATGTTAAAATGCTTTAGTAGAAATGTCTTCACTTGAGTTTTAAGCTAGTGGGCCAAGACTAGCAACTCCAAGTTCAATAATGCTCTGCCTTCTTAATCTTGGTGCTTGTCTTGATGCACAGTGAGTTAAAACACCTGAAGTTTTTAGATGTCTTAAGTCTTTGAATGTGAGCTTGTAACTCCTAATCTGCCTTCTTAGTGGAAGATGTCCAAAGAAATCTTGTCCAGTGTTTAAGGAGTTCAGACTGCATTTCCATTGTAAAATTGCTTGTGGCTAAGATGCTGAACTCCTGCCACAGTATCTATATGCACCTGGGAGCCTTACACTTAAACTGACTGAGGTGGGATGCTAAGATAGTTGAGTATATGATCATATGTAAGCAGTAGGTGTTTGAAGTAGAGCTTCTTCCTTATTTTGTCTTGGAAACTTTAGGCTGGGGAGAGTTGAAATGACTGAAATGCCATTACTATTATCTGTTGCAAATTAACTTTGCCAAGAATTACTGTTTGTGACCTCAGTTAAATTCTTGTAAGATCAGCATCTTGTGTGCAGTAGTGACTGTGCACACATTATCAAAGCCTTCTTTCTAAAAGAGTAGAGAAAAATTAAGTGCAGTGAGATAGGGATGAGATGGATCAGACCATTCACACTACCAGTGAAAGCTAAAAATGCTTGTAAGCATATTGAAGGAAGATACTGTGTGTGAAGTAGTAAAACTGGATGAATCCATCAGATGGGAAATAGTTGCTCTTGCATCTGCTGCTTTAAGTCAGCTTGCAGTGATGTTTGCCTAGTGGTGTAATAGGATGGTTTGTAAAGCAGCATGTGGATTAGAATTTTGCCTTTTTTCTCGTTCAGAGATCTCCAAAGACCAGCAGAGATGAGCCTAAGAATCGAACAGTGGTTTGTTTTGGGGATGAAGCATAGGAAGGAAGCTGTGTATGTAATAGTGGTCTGTTTCAAAAGTATCAAAGGCTGATGGAAGGATTACAGTCCAGTATGTAAACTGGCAATCATGAGGGAGCAACCTTCTCATGGGAGAGCTGAGGTATGGGGCACCCTTTGTTCAGGTTGTTTCATCTGGTCCTAATTGGTATCTTAAGGTCCTTTCATAAATGATACAAAGCATAAAG